AGAGAGAGAGAGAGAAACATTGATTGGTTGCCCTCCTATATGTGCCCTGACAAGGGATCCAACCCATAACTTAGGCATGTGCCCTGACTGGGAATCAAACCTACTTTTTGGTGTATGGGATGACGCTCCAACCAACTGAGCCACACCAGCCAGGGGGCCATTGGTCGATTCTTGTATGTGCCCCGACTGGGGACCAAACCCACAATCTTGGAGTATCAGGATGATGCTCTAACCAACTGAGCCACACCAGCCAGGGCCATTAGTCGATTCTTGTATGTGTCCCGACTGGGGACCAAACCCACAATCTTGGAGTATCAGGATGATGCTCTAACCAACTGAGCTACCCGGCCAGGGCCATTGGTAGTTTAATTTTCACATTGACGGAGTAGAGGAGATGGCCCCATCCTTTTACTCTCCCCTTAAAAAACCCCAAAACTTTATTGTTGAAAGTATTACAGATGTCCCCCCTTCCCCCCATTGACCCCTTCTAGCCCGCACCTGCCCCTGCCCCAGGCCTTCACCACACTACTGTCCACTATGTCCATGGGTGGTGCCTATATGCATACAAGGTCTTTGGTTAACTTCTTCCCACCCACCTTCCCTCTGAGATTCGACAGTCTGTTCCATGCTTCTCTGCTCTTTCTTTTAAAGATATTTTTATCCCAGGGCCTTCTAGGGATACCACCACCTTTTCAGGGGGGCCAGACTCTACAACTGGTGAGTAAGTGGTTCTCTCTGGACCTTCCTTATCCTCACTTGTGTGTCTTTTTTTCTGATTTTTTAAAGTCTTTTAAAAAATATATTTTATTGATTTTTTACCGAGAGGAAGGGAGAGGGATAGAGAGTTAGAAACAACGATGGGAGAGAAAAATCAATCAGCTGCCTCTTGCACACCTCCTACTGGGGATGTGCCCACAACCGTGATACATGCCTTTGGCAGGAATTGAACCTGGGACCTTTCAGTCCGTAGGCGACACTCTATCCACTGAACCAAACCAGTTAGGGCTGTTTGTTTGTTTTTGAGGTAGGTCTGTAGTGGGGGATGTGCCTGCAACCAAGGTACATGCCCTTGACCGGAATTGAACCTGGGACCCTTCAGTCCGCAGGCTGACGCTCTACCCACTGAGCCAAACTGGTTAGGGCTGATTTTTTAAAGTCTTTATTGTTGAAAGTATTACATATGTCCCCTTCCCCCCCCCTAGCATCTACCCCCTCTAGCCCACCCCTGAATCTGTCCCCACTGACTCACCACCCCACTGACTGTGTCCATGGGTTGTGCATACAAGTTCTTTGGCTAATCTCTTCCTATCCACCCACTCCCACCTTCCCTCTGATATTTGACAGTCTATTCTTTGTTTTTTATCCCAGAGCCTTCTAGGGACACCACCATCTTTTCCAAGAGGCCAGGCTCTACAACTGGTGAGTAAGTGGTCCTCCTCTCCGGACCTTCCTTTTCCCCACCCCTGTGTCTTTATCTAAAGCTCACTGCTTTCCCAATACAGAAGCCATAGCTCTGGGATCTTGGGCTCTGATACACCCAGTGTGAAGGGGAGAGGAAATAACAGTATATGGAGCTCAGACTTGGGAAGGTTGAGGTCTTCTGGAAGATCAGAGTACGATCCATTCCACCTCCACCCCCGATAGCCTTTTCTTCCACAATCTGCCAAATAGCCGGGGAGTGTCTGTGTAGGGGCGGGTTGCCTCCGAGGCCTGATGATGGAAGAGGTTCTACTCAGGGAACTGGGCTTATTGACCCCGGGGGAGAGGGCAGGGGCCCTCCAGGAAGGAGGTTGGCATCCCAGCTAGCAGAGAGTAACAGGACCTCAGGTGAGGGAATACGGCTATGAGAAGCCCACGACAGGGCTCCCCTCTCTCTTCATTCCCCAGGCCTCACCCATCAGGACTACACTAAGGGGAACCTGGTCCGGATATGCCTCGGGGCTGCGATTCTCTTACTCCTGGCGGGCATCCTGGTAGAAGATTGGCACAGCCGGAAGAAATTCCCGCTGCACTGGGTCCCGGCTGTCCACAGGCCACTCCCACCCCTCCCACGGGCTCAGAAGTCACAAAGTGGTCAGGACGGGGGTCGACCAGTTGGCCATCCCCAGCGTTTGCCACCATCAGAACCTCAAGACGTGGTTGTATCCAAGAGGTCATGAGAGCAGGGAGGGGACTTGGCGTGCATGCGTATGCGTGTGTGTGTGTGTGTGTGTGTGTGTGTGTGTGTGTGTCTTCTAGGGGCTCCGTCAAGAAGCCATTGAGTCAGTGTCTATTTGGCTTCCTGATTGCTTCTCAGCCTTTAAGGCCAAGTGCACTTGGCTTCCTGTTGATTAACCAAAGAACTTATATGCATATATTCATTGCTCATGGACACAGACAATAGGGTGGTATAAGCCTGGGGCCCGGCTGGGCGGGAACTGGGTGAAGAGGAGCAATGGGGGGAAGAAATGGAGGACATCCGTAAGACTCAACAATGAAGATTAAAAAAAAGAGAACTCCCTCTGTTTGGGGCGGAAAGAATCAAACCAGCAACCCCTCAGTCCGCCGGCCAATGCTCTATCCACTGAGCCAAACCGGCTAGGGCCAGTCCCTCATGTCTTGCACATTGTGGCTCTTACAACTTCCTCACCGCATCATCGTACTTCCCTCTTTTTTTTTAAAAAAATGTTTTCATCGATTTTTAGATAGAGAAATGGAGAGGAGGATAGAAACATTGCTTAGAGAGAAACATCGACTGGCTGCCTCCTGCACACCCCTCTACTGGGGATGGAGCCAACCACCCGGGCATGTACCCTGACTGGGATTCGAACCAGTGACCTCTGGTGCATGGGAGGATGCTCAATCCACTGAGCCACTGGCCGGGCTTCCCTCTTTCTCCAGCCTTCTCTCAGATGGCTCCTGGATGGACCTCTGCCTCTGGTCTGACTCTGTTAATAAATACAACCTCCTCCACTAGTGCTTTCACCTTTATTTCTCTTGATAAACTCGTGATTGGGGCAGCTCACCGTAACAGGATTAAGTGACACGTGCGTGTTTTGTGTAAGGGGGAGGGTGCAGCCATGGCTCAGATCCCATCGGGTCCAGAAACTACTGACACCGAGCGGGCTCACGGGAAGCTCACCCTTGCCTCGAAGAGCCGTGGCGCCTTGATTGGAGGGACAACGAATGACCCGGAGGGGATTCAGAAAATGAAGTCTGCAGAAGAAGGCCTGTTATTCCTGGGCTCTTGGTTGTCCCGCTCAATAGTCAGTTTTGGGTTGCCCTCTTTGATTTCTTCCAGCAGCTTCTGGATTTGGGCGTCAGAATGATCGATCTTCAACCTGGTGGTACAATAGGGGGTGAGGCGGGGGGAAATCGAAGGTTTTTGGTTGCTTCAAGGAGACTCATTCCAGACCCCCCAAGCGCCCTCACGTCTCATGCGTTAGGGATTTTCAGTGAAGGGACCACCTTTATGTATTTGTCTGTGCTGCCAGGTAGAGTTCCATATCGACTTGATAGGGAAGAAATACGATATCAGGCTACCCTCCTGATGGCATCAAGCCACTGGCGAGCTTTGGATGCTCGGAGGTTCTTGCGTGATTTTCACGTCCTCCTTAGTGTGAGAGATGGAACTGACGAATGTACCTGTGACATGGCTCTAATACCTCCCGGCTCCATATCTCACTCTGTCAGCTTCTGCTACGTAGGTGGACCCAGGATGAGCCAGACAAACACAAGCCGAGTCAGCCAGGCCAGCTTTTTACCCCTCTCTGGCTACATGATGCTATCTCATGACCATGCTTTTATTTTTTTAAATCCTTACCTGAGGGTATTTTTTTAGCAAGAGAGGAAGGGGGGTTAGAGAGAGTGGGAGGGAGGAAACATCAAAAACATCAATGTGAGAGAGACACATTGCTTGGTTGCCTCCTGCACACGCTCGGACCTGGGCCAGGGATCGAATCTGCAACCCAGGCACATGCCCTTAACTGGGAATCAAACCTGAGACCCTTCAGTGATGCTATAACCATTGAGCAACACCACCCAGGGCTAACCATGCTTTATTTAACCTCTGATGATAGATAGCGGCCCCATTTCTAAGATTCACCCCTTGGTAACTTTGGTAACTATCGAGCCCGAAACCCCGGGCATGTTCCCTGACCGGGAATCGAACCGTGACCTCCTGGTTTACGGGTCAAAGCAACAGGAGGAATCGATAGACAAGTTACCTGGTGACCGAACATCAATGGATTAAAACTGAATGTTAGGGATAGACGTGCCTACAAGGAATCCTGTCGCTGGTGCTCCCCCCCAAATCTACAATCATGGCGCAAACACTGGGGCATAGGAGGGTCATACCTGAGTTTCTGCAGAGGGCAACTTGGAAGTTTCAGGGCATCTCCCAGCATCTTTATCCCGCTGTACTCCAGGGAATTCTGGCCCAGGTCCAGAGTGACGAGGTGCTGGTTGCTGCTAAGGGCCGACGAGAGGTCTGCACAACTGAAAGGGGTAATCGCACACCCCCATAACCTGTAGGTGAAGCACAAAAACTCATCATTCATTCATTCATTCATTCATCCAGTGCTTATTGGTACCGTCCTATGTTGATACCGTCCTACATGCCAGGCACACTGTTAGGTGCTGGGGATCCAACAGTGAACCACACGAGTGGGTCTCTTCCCTCTGAGTTTGGCGATAGGGAACAGAGCAGGTAAAGCAACATCAAGGCAGTCATGGTGAGTGAGCCAGGAAGGGTATGTAGGTGATGTCACAGATAAGCCAGGGAGGACTGGAGGTGGGGTCACAGACAAGAGGGGGCCAGCTCAAAGAAGGCCCTTAGGTCTTGGTAAACTTAGGATTTTACTTGGAAGGAGATGGGGAAGCACAGAGGGTGTTGATCAGAAGGGTGGCAAAAGTTACACCTTAGAAGGCAGTCTTATGGGTGGTTGAAAAACTGTAGGGCATGAAGAAGGCGGGATTCAGACTGATTTGAAAACTCAGCCACAACCCACATGTTACCAGTACGTGTGTGGGGGTAGAGATCAGATCTAGACATCTGGAAGGGGGGTAGCATGATTTCAACAAGGATTCGATACTTGAACGTATTGATTCCAGAGAGAGAAAGGAAAGGGGAGAGGAAGAGGGGAGAGGGAGAGGGCGAGGGGGGGGGGGGGGGGGGGGAGGAGGATTTGGGTTAAATCCTGAGTTTAAGTACTTAATTTTCCTGATAGGGGAGAGAGAGGGGGGGGGAGGGGCGGGGGGAGAGAGAGAGAGAGAGAGAGAGAGAGAGAGAGAGAATGAATGAGAGACAGATTTATTGTTCTTCTTATTCATGAATTCATTCGTTGATTCTTGTATGTGCTGGGGATTGAACCTGCAACATTGGCATATGGAAGATGATCTTCTAACCAACTGAGCTACCCAGCCAGGGCTATCCTAGAGGCCTTTTGAAATATTTAATTGACTAAAAAAATCCTTATTGTTGAAAGTATTACACATGCGCTCTAACTGATAGAGCGTCAACCTGCAGACTGAAGGGTCCCAGGTTTGATTCCGGTCAAAGGCATGTACCTTGGTTGCGGGCACATCCCCAGTAGAGGGTGTGCAGAAGGCAGCTGATCGATGTTTCTCTCTCATCAATGTTTCTAACTCTATCCCTCTCCCTTCCTCTCTGTAAAAAATCAATAAAATATATTCTAAAAAAAGGTACAAGTCTTATTAAAAAAAGTATTACATATGCCCCCCATTTCCCCCAGTGACCTCTTCCAGACCCCCTGCCCCACCCCAGCCTTTACCACCCTCCAATTTTTTTTATTATGAGCACATGGCACAATTACATGCCTACACATCTCAATATTGTCATCAATAGAGCTGGGGGGCGGGGAGGGAGATTGCTACACTGATATTTCATTTCAGGTGCAGATTTAAGTACAAAAACCATTAACTGACCATAGACACCTTAGGTGACACAGCGGTTTCTTCAGAGCCTCACACAGAAACTTCACCCCAGTGACTCCGATGTGGTTCAGCCCCAGGTCCAAGTGCGTGAGACTAGAGCTTTCTTGGAGGAGTGTGGCGAGGATGACGCAGCCGTCACTGGTTATGTTGCAGTGGAACAGCCTGGAGATCGATCGCAGGAAGGAAAAAACAACAACAAACTGTTAGTGCTCACTGGTGTGATGTAACCAAACCATGATTGGCAAGCTCAAGCCATGGGGTTATTTATTTATAAAATATTTTTATTGATTTCAGAGAGGAAGGGAGAGGGAGAGCGAGAGAGAAACATCAATGATGAGAGAGAATCATGGATCGGCTGCCTCCTGCACACCCCCTACTGGGGATTGAGCCCACTACCTGGGCATGTGCCCTTGACCAGAATCGAATCCAGGACCCTTTAGTCTGCAGGCTGATGCTCTATCCACTGAACCAAACCTGCTAGGGTGGCTTATTTTAGTCATTATTACTTATTGATTTTTAAAAATTGAATTTATTGGGGGCGATAGTGGTTAATAAAACTATGCAGGTTTCGGACATACAATTCCACAACACATCACCTGTATATTGTATTGTGTGTTCACCACCCCAAGTCAAGTTTCCTTCTATCACTATTTATTCCCCCTTTACCAAACTCTTCTAACTTCCCCCGCCTCCCCTCTGGCAATCACCATACTGTTGTCTGTGTCCATGAGTCTTTTTTTTTCTTTTCTTCTTTGCTTAATCCCTTCACCCTTCTCACCCAGACCCCAAACCCCTCTTCTCTGACAGCTGTCCATCTGTTCTCTGTATCCATGGGTCTGTCTCCACTTGGTGAGTTTATTTTGTTCATTCGATTCGTGTTGTTTTAAGCTACTTAGTTTGGGGTAATCTGTTACAGAAGCCCTGAGAAATCAGGACAGCTGGTCTGTACGATTTCTACTCTAACCATGGGGCAGAGAATTTCAATCCTACCTTGGTCTGCTACCTTCTACTAGGGGAAGTGGCCAATTGTATTTCCTAAATCCAGTTACTAGGAAAGTAGTATCTTAGGCATGGAGGCCACCCACTATGTATCAGTTACCCAACTACACAGAATATCAGTGGTATTTCACCTTAACTGTTTTTTTTTTTTTACTCTTCACTTAAGGATATTGTTTTCCCCATCGATTTTTAGAGAGCATAGAAGGGAGGGAGGAAGAGGGAGAGAAAGAGACAGAGATATGAACATCGATGTGAGAAAGACACATTGATTGCCTTCTGTATGTGCCCTGACTGGGGCCAGGGAATGGAAGCAATACAGGTGTGTGCCCTTGACTGGGACTTGAAGGTGACACTGCTCAGTGCATGGGCTGATGCTCTAACCACTGGGAAACCAGCCAGAGAGCTTACCTTAACTTTTTAAAAAAAATTTAAATTTATTGGTGAGAGAGAGAAAGAGAGAGAGAGAGAGAGAGATAGAGAGAGAGAGAGATTTGTTGTCCCACTTATTTATGGATTTATTGGTTGAGCCTTTTTTTCATTGGTTGATTCTTGTATGTGCCCTGACCTGGGATTGGATCACAACCTTGGTGTATTGGGCCGATGCTCTAACCAAGTGAGCTAACCGGCGAGGGCTGAAGTTGATGAGGTTTAAAATCTAAAGTTGATTTTGTCTTAAGTTTTCTGGTCTGCCCAGTGGGAGAAATGAGGCTGGGAGCACTGAA